AAAACTCCTAGCTATTGTCTGGTCAAAAAGTTGAACAAGAGCAAAGTTCGATAACTTAGATCAAACTCGTGATACTCTCCCCTTATTCTACCTGTATGTGTATAGTCTCCTACTGAAGTTTTCCTGTTGATACTGCTTGTAACGACATTCATCAGGCTGCCCTCTGAACTTAATGACTCGTTGATTCAAGTGTCCAACTTTCGTGTAGTACAGGACCGGTCAACTCTATCACGTGTCGAAGTTTCCAGATTAGTCGATCGCTTCTTACCTAGACCTGTCAGTTAGCTAAAACGAGAATTCAGTTTATCGACAAATGCTTATTAGCGAACACTGAACTAATTGGATATTTTTTAGGGCAATACATGTATTGACATATTAGTAGAACCCAATGCAAGACCATCTTGATTTTATAACCTTTTATTTAGTTTACATTGTCTGTTTTATTTTTGTTTGTTTGTTTGTGGGTTGTGGCCACACACATTTCTAATGCAGCTTTCAATTAAGTATTACATGTTAACATGTTATGCGCCACATTGACCGTTGATTCCGATTTCAGCCTGCTTTTCTTTTTGAATTTGCTTCGATAGCCTTTGTCCAAACAAGGCAGTAGTTGTTTGATTTTGGTGTTTTCTCTCCTAGATGGATTACTGTCTTCAGCTATCGAACCTCATCTGCCAGGGGGTTCGAACTCGGGACTTTTTATTTTATCAGCCATGAGCTTTACCGACCCGACCACTCTGACCTTCCAGCGATTTCATTTTAACTTTACAGATACATTCATCTCTGACGACAATGCAAAAATATCTTTTTTTTTAAATTCAGTAATAAAAGGTGAGATAACTAGATAAAATACTAGCTATCTCTCCATCAGTCGGCCGTCGATGGTGAACTGTTTCCACGGCTGAGTGATTTTTTGTGCCTTATCGTCTACTACGGACCAATGGTCTTTTAGAGATGGCTAGTGATCGGGTTTTATCGCAAAAAAAGTTTTAGCAATAGCCTATGTCGTGTCAACATCATTTTGAACAGATTAGTAAAAAGTGCAAAATTTAAAAAAAAACAAAAAAAAAACTTTAAAATAACCAACTTTTAAATGCACTCAAAATAAGAAAATTAAACAAACTTACTTCCTTTAATACTGGTTTTGGTCCCAAAAATATTTAAGAGATCTCGTGAGCGACCAAAGCTGTTATTCAATTAAGTAAGTTTGTTTTTTCTTATTTTCAGTGCATTTCAAAGCTTGTTGTTATACCTGTTGCTATACATGTTGTTATACATGTTGTTATACATGTTGTTATACATGTTGTTATACATGTTGTTATACATGTTGTTATACATGTTGTTATACATGTTGTTATACATGTTGTTATACATGCTGTTATACATGTTGTTATACATGTTGTTATCCATGTTGTTATACTTGTTGTTATACATGTTGTTATACATGTTGTTATACATGTTGTTATACATGTTGTTATTCTTGTTGTTATACTTGTTGTTATACATGTTGTTATACATGTTTTATTCACCCATCTCCCCCAGTGTAAACACGATTCAATACTTGATTATTGATAAGCTCTTCACATGACAGATGGGTTGTGGCAGCTTGTTAGAAAGATACATTTTATAAATAAAATCTGCCCCTATGTGATACTTGGACATTGGTAGTGGACATACAAACCCTATATCGTATTTGGACATGTGTAGTGATCATACAAACTATATGTCGTATTTGGACATTGGTAGTGGACATACAAATCATATGTCGTATCTGTACATTGGTAGTGGACATACAAACCATATGTTGTATCCGGACATAGCAGTGGACATACAAAACCGTATGTTTGTATCTGGACTTTGGTAGTGGACATACAAATCATATGTCGTATCTGTAGATATTTTAGTGGACATACAAACCATATGTTGTATCCGGACATAGCAGTGGACATACAAAACCGTATGTTTGTATCTGGACATTGGTAGTGGACATACAAATCATATGTCGTATCTGTAGATATTTTAGTGGACATACAAACCATATGTCGTATCTGGACATAGCCGTGGACACACGCATACTTCATTACTCACGTTGAATCCATGGTATCTCCAAATAGTTCTAGGCTTGAACCCTACCAGTGATGTCGGTTAATCTTGACCCGGAATTCGATGCATCTTCAATAATGGAAACTCGACATCCCCCGGGGTGAAACATTGATGGGGATGGATAGTGTAACCATAAACCCCTGACACCCCCCCCCTTCAGTTCCCTGACACCCCCGGGGTGAGACATTGATGGGGGCGGATAGTGTAACCATAAACCCCTACCCCCCTCCTCCCTAACACCCCCGGGGTGAGACATTGATGGGGACGGATTGTGTAAACATAACCCCGTTGATAGCTTTTTGTTATTGATCCGTTCCGGATCCCTTGTCGACCCGTTCCGGAATGGTTGATTTAGTATAGTATTTTTACCTTGCGTGTCAATTATTTCCCAAGGTCGGTCGGGTTTCTTGACGTGTGAGTAACGTTTGTAGCAGATAGAGCACGTGAGTGCTTGCCGTCGTCACGGTTGGGCGAGCTCGATGGTGAGTCAAGATTGTAGCTAATGGGGTGTTGTAGGGGGGGGGGGATGTAGCCCACACGTTGTTTTGTGTCACGATTGGTGGTTTTGTGTATCCACAGGTGGGTTTATGTCCCCCACAGGTGGGTTTATGTCCCCGATTGGTGGTTTTATTTCCCTCAGTGGTGGTTTTGTCCCTTGTAGTGGGTTCGGTTCTCCACTGGTGGGTTTGTGTCCCCCGCGGATGGGTTTGTGTCCGCAAACGGTGGGTTTGTCACCCCAAATGGTGGGTTCCGTCTCTAAGAGGTAACACAAATCTAGCCATTCCATATTATGTTTATGTTGCCGGTGACTGTATGCTGAATACGGCATCTCGTCATGCTGTTTTACGTTGAACATCAGTTCTCAAATAGCATGTGGCAAGTTGTCATCTTTGTTGGAGGAGAAGTTGTTTTGTGGTCGTTTCATCTGAGTTCTTCCTGGCACCAGGCCGCTCATTCATGTGTGAACACAACAGAAACCAAGTGGTCACAGCTCTGGTGCTCTGTTTGTATACCGGGTTCTCACGTCTCTGTTTGCATACCAGATAGTCACTTCTCTGTTTACATTTACATACCGGATAGTCACTTCTGTTTACATTTACATACCGGATAGTCACTTCTCTGTTTACATTTACATACCGGATAGTCACTTCTCTGTTTACATTTACACACCGGATAGTCACTTCTCTGTAAACATTTACACACCGGATAGACACTTCTGTTTACATTTACATACCGGATGGTCACTTCTCTGTTTACATTTACATACCGGATAGTCACTTCTCTGTTTACATTTACACACCAGATAGTCACTTCTCTGTTTACATTTACACACCGGATAGACACTTCTGTTTACATTTACATACCGGATAGTCACTTCTCTGTTTACATTTACACACCGGATAGTCACTACACTGTTTACATTTACATTCCGGATAGTCACTTCTCTGTTTACATTTACACACCGGATAGTCACTACACTGTTTACATTTACATTCCGGATAGTCACTTCTCTGTACACATTTACATACCGGATAGTCACTTCTCTGTTTACATTTACATACCGGATAGTCACTTCTCTGTTTACATTTACATACCGGATAGTCACTTCTCTGTCTACATTTACATACCGGATAGTCACTTCTCTGTTTACATTTACATACCGGATAGTCACTTCTCTGTTTACATTTACACACCGGATAGTCACTACACTGTTTACATTTACATTCCGGATAGTCACTTCTCTGTACACATTTACATACCGGATAGTCACTTCTCTGTTTACATTTACATACCGGATGGTCACTTCTCTGTTTACATTTACATACCGGATACTCACTTCTCTGTTTACATTTACACACCGGATAGTCACTTCTCTGTTTACATTTACACACCGGATAGTCATTTCTCTGTTTACATACCGGATAGTCACTTCTCTGTTTACATACCGGATGGTCACTTCTCTGTAAACATTTACATACCGGATAGTCACTTCTGTTTATATTTACATACCGGATAGTCACTTCTCTGTTTACATACCGGATAGTCACTTCTCTGTTTACATACCGGATAGTCACTTCTCTGTTTACATTTACACACCGGATAGTCACTTCTCTGTTTACATTTACACACCGGATAGTCACTTCTCTGTTTACATTTACACACCGGATAGTCACTTCTCTGTTTACATACCGGATAGTCACTTCTCTGTTTACATACCGGATAGTCACTTCTCTGTTTACATACCGGATAGTCACTTCTCTGTTTACATTTACATACCGGATAGTCACTTTTCTGTTTACATTTACATTCCGGATAGTCACTTTTCTGTTTACATACCTGATAGTCACTTTTCTGTTTACATACCTGATAGTCACTTTTCTGTTTACATACCTGATAGTCACTTTTCTGTTTACATACCTGATAGTCACTTTTCTGTTTACATACCTGATAGTCACTTTTCTGGTTACATACCTGATAGTCACTTTTCTGTTTACATACCGGATAGTCACTTTTCTGTTTACATACCGTGTTGTCACGGTTCTGTTCACGGTGTTGTCATGTCTGGTTACCTACCGTGTTGTCACGTCTGTTTACATACCGTGTTGTCACGTCTGTTTACATACCGTGTTGTCACGTCTGTTTACATACCGTGTTGTCACGTCTGTTTACATACCGTGTGGTCACGGTTCTGTTCACGGTGTGGTCACGGCTATTGCCTCTTCCCCCATGTCACGACTAACCAACTCACCCGTGCGTAAAAGTTTCTTCTGTTGAACTCACCAGTGGACATAAATTATTCAACACGGCCGTCATAACAAATACATTCATGTACAGGAGACAGTCACGTGGTTCCCGTATTAGCATGAATGTAACGGTCTTATTTTCTCCCTCCCCAGACGTGGACTTGCCCGCACCCCTCTAGATGACGCCCCCCACCCCCTGGAGCACCTGCATGACACCGACTTCATCAACAGGTCGTACGACCAGAACCTGCACACGGCACTCATCAGGTAGGTCCTCCTTGTTGTTTTCTCGTTGCTACGGCAACGCGTTGTGGTGTGATCGCGTTGCCATGGTGTTTCAGTGCTGGCGCCGCATGTGACCTCGTCACGTGACTGGACACAGCGGGTAAACATGACGTCATTTTTCTCTCAACTGACGTTGCTTTTGATTTCTCCAAGTAGACGTATTCCCCCTTATCATACTTTCTTTAGTTTAAACTGTAGCCTTGTAGCCCATCTATCTATAATCTCCGTGTAAAACCTTCTATCTCTAAGCTTTGTGTAAAACCCTTCCATCTTTAAGCTCCGTATAAAACCCTTCTATGTGTAAGCTGTATGTAGAACCCTTCCATCTTTAAGCTCCATGTAAAACCATGTAAGCTCTGTGTAAAGCTCTTTTCAGTATGTTAAAATTGAGTTGGTTTTTCTCACATATCTAATCATTCTTCCGTGGCTACATTTCTGTTTTGTTTAATTCAATTCTTTCTTTCTAGTAGCTACATGTCCCCGGGGAAGGGGCAGGGGAAGGAGGGGGGTAGAACAAAAGATTATGAAACCCACAAGCGGGACACAAGCTATGTATTGTTAATGCGTTCACTGTCCGTCTCAATTGTCTGTTCAAGGGCGTTTCCTGGTTCCCCCCCCCCCCATTGATTTGAATATTTGTAACAGTTTTTGTTTCCCTCCACTGCTATCGATTGGCAGCACTTAACAAAAAATAATTAGATTTCTGTAACGATTGGTATCTCAGTGGATTGTGTTTGGGTTGGGGGGGGGGGAGACAACAGGTTTTGAAATTGGAGTTTATGGGAGGGAGGGAGGGACGCAAAAAGGGGGTGTGCGCTCATGGGTATTAAAATAAGTATTAAAATAGTTTAGAGGTATGGGGGTGGGGGTGAGACAATGGTGTTGGGTAATGTAGGTTGCCCAGGCCGTGGAACTGATAGAAGTGTGGTGGTGCCAGCCTTGACGAGGTGTCGTTAACGCTGGCAGTGTATGGGTCATGGATCATGTTGGACTACCGGGATTCATGACCCGTGTCACGCGTCTAGAGGCTTACACACAACAAATATTTAACATTGCACAAATTTGTAGAGCGTGACCCAACCAAGCCAACAGATAATAAACATGACCCACGCATCAGATATAGAGCATGACCCACCCAACCCACCCAACATAACACACACGACCCATGAAGTGACCCACCCAACATAACACACATGACCCACCCAACCCACCCAACATAACACACACGACCCATGAAGTGACCCACCCAACATAACACACACGACCCATGAAGTGACCCACCCAACATAACACACACGACCCATGAAGTGACCCACCCAACATAACACACATGACCCACCCAACCCACCCAACATAACACACACGACCCATGAAGTGACCCACCCAACATAACACACATGACCCACCCAACCCACCCAACATAACACACACGACCCATGAAGTGACCCACCCAACATAACACACATGACCCATGAAGTGACCCACCCAACATAACACACATGACCCATGAAGTGACCCACCCAACATAACACACACGACCCATGAAGTGACCCACCCAACATAACACACATGACCCATGAAGTGACCCACCCAACATAACACACGACCCATAAAGTGACCCACCCAACATAACACACGACCCATAAAGTGACCCACCCAACATAACACACGACCCATAAAGTGACCCACCCAACATAACACACACGACCCATAAAGTGACCCACCCAACATGTCCCATGAAGTGACCCACTCAACATAACACACACGACCCATGAAGTGACCCATCCAACACGACCCATGAAGTGACCCACCCAACACGACCCATGAAGTGACCCACCCAACACGACCCATGAAGTGACCCACCCAACACGACCCATGAAGTGACCCACCCAACATGACCCATGAAGTGACCCACCCAACACGACCCATGAAGTGACCCACCCAACATGACCCATGAAGTGACCCACCCAACATAACACACACGACCCATGAAGTGACCCACCCAACATGACCCACATGACCCACCCAACACGACCCATGAATTGACCCACCAAGCAGCTCCATGACATCAACACACACCAGACCAACACAGCAGCACAGCCCACAAGCAATGATTCACACATCCAGTTGTTTAGGTTACCATGACTACCAGCTTTACAAAGAAAAACTATGGCATTTCTATTTTATTTTGATCTATTTAATGATGCTAGCTATTAATTTGCTGCTCCTGTTTGACCATTAACTCACATAATTGTATTCTATATTAGCAAAGAACTATGACCCAACGCTTATTTCCCATATGACCAGCAACTATGACCTAATGTTTATTTCCTATCTGACCAACCCATATGATCTAATGCTTGTTTCTTATCCGACCAATCCCTATGACCTAATGTTTCTTATCCGACCTATCCCTATGACCTAATGTTTCCTATCTGACCAACCCCTATAACCTAATGTTTCCTATCTGACCAACCCATATGACCTAATGTTTGTATCTGACCAACCCCTATGACCTAATGTTTGTATCTGACCAACCCCTATGACCTAATGTTTGTATCTGACCAACCCCTATGTCCTAATGTTTGTATCTGACCAACCCTATGACCTAATGTTTGTATCTGACCAACCCATATGACCTAATGTTTGTATCTGACCAACCCTATGACCTAATGTTTCCTATCTGACCAACCCCTATGACCTAATGTTTGTATCTGACCAACCCTATGACCTAATGTTTCCTATCTGACCAACCCCTATGACCTAATGTTTCCTATCTGACCACCCCTATGACCTCATATTTGTATCTGACCAACCCCTATGACCTAATGTTTGTATCTGACCAACCCCTATGACCTAATGTTTCCTATCTGACCAACCCCTATGACCTAATGTTTGTATCTGACCAACCCCTATGACCTAAAATTTGTTTGCCATCTGCCCAGCAACTATGACCTAATGTTTGTTTGCCATCTGCCCAGCAACTATGACCTAATGTTTGTTTCCCATCTGCCCAGCAACTATGACCTAATGTTTGTTTGCCATCTGCCCAGCAACTATGACCTAATGTTTGTTTCCCATCTGCCCAGCAACTATGACCTAACATGCAGCAGTGGGGTGTCGACCCCCACCGTCATAGAGACCCAGAGCCCCCTCTCCTACGGAGGCTGGACAACAGGATACACCACAGAGAGGAGCAGCCTGGACTCTTCCTACTTCCTAGATGTAGGTGCAGTAGAGGATAGCAGTAGATCTGTGTGGTTGTGTGTCACATGATGCAGTGCCAGTGTTGTTTGCTGTTTTTGTCATTGTGGAATATGCATGAGTGGATGTTGGACCAGTACAGTTGGACTTAAGTGTATCAATGTGTCTAGTTTGCTACAAGTCTATGGTAGATTTAAGTTGACCAATGATTCATGGCCAATGATGTATTGTTGTGCTGAATATTTCAACATTTTGTATTGTTGCACAGAATATTTTTCAACATTTTGTATTGATATTGATTTTGACATTTTGTCTTGTTGCGCAGGATTTTGACATTTTGTATTGTTGCGCAGGATTTTGACATTTTGTATTGTTGCGCAGGATTTTGACATTTTGTATTGTTGCGCAGGATTTTGACATTTTGTCTTGTTGCGCAGGATTTTGACAAGCATGCCGCCAGCACTGTGTCAGAACATTTTGACAAGTTTGAGTCCATGTTGTTTGAGGGACCAAAGGAGAGTGGGGGGAGGCAGGCGGAGGTGGATGAGTGCAAGCAGTGGAGTGATCAGTTTCCACATCTCAGGTAGGTCAGGTGTTAGTGGGGCAGGGGGTGGTAGTGGGGCAGGTGGTGGTGGTGGGGCAGGCGGTGGTGGTGGGGCAGGCGGTGGTGGTGGGGCAGGCGGTGGTGGTGGGGCAGGCGGTGGTGGTGGGGCAGGCGGTGGTGGTGGGGCAGGGGGTGGTGGTGGGGCAGGTGGTGGTGGGGCAGGTGGGTGGTAGTTGTGGGCAGGTGGTTGTGGTGGTGGGGCAGGCGGTGGTTGCGGTGGTGGTGGTGGGGCAGGCGGTGGTGGTGGTGGGGCAGGCGGTGGTAGTGGGACAGGTGGTGGTGGTGGGGCAGGCGGTGGTGGTGGTGGGGGAGGTGGTGGTGGTGGGGCAGGTGGTGGTGGGGCAGGTGGTGGTGGTGGGGCAGGTGGTTGTGGTGGTGGGGCAGGTGGTGGTGGTGGGGCAGGTGGTTGTGGTGGTGGGGCAGGTGGTGGTGGTGGGGCAGGTGGTGGTGGTGGGGCAGGCGGTGGTGGTGTGTCAGGTGGTGGTGGGGCAGGTGGTGGTGGTGGTGGGGCAGGCGGTGGTGGTGGGGAGGTGGTGGTGGGGAGGTGGTTGTGGGGCAGGTGGTGGTGGTTGTGGGGCAGGGCAGGTGGTGGTGGGGCAGGTCAGTTAGGTTGAGGTGCTTGTGTCCTCTTTTTCAAACACTTTGTCTAGTCTCCTGATATATTTTATGTTTTCTATCCCAGGGTCCTAGGTAAACAAGCATACACCCCCAAAGATTTAGGTTACTGCCATTTCCCATCTCATCAAGACCCATCAGGTCAGCCCACAGACACACCAGACAGCTCACTCTCATCAGACTCTCAGGGGTGAGTTGATTCTATTTTAGGATAGGTTTGTTTCCCTCAGGCTAAACAACCCACCCTCATGGGCTAAGCCGCCATTTAACACAGGCTGAGCCGCCTTCTCCACAGGCTAAGCCACCCTCCCCCACTTGCTAAGCCACCCTCCCCCACTGGCTAAGCCACCCTCCCCCACTGGCTAAGCCACCCTCCCCCACTGGCTATGGCCCCCTCCCCCACTGGCTAAGGCCCCCTCCCCCATGGGCTAAGATGCCCTCCCCCACAGGCAATGCCGCCCTCCCCCACAGGTTACGCTGGCTGCCCCACAGGCTAAGCTGCCCTCCCCCTATGGGCTAAGGCCCCCCCCCCCCCCCCACAGGCAATGCCACCCTCCCCCACAGGTGATGCCAGCCAGCTGCCGCCACATGCACCCACAAGTCCTAACATGTCCTCCCCCTTTCCCCCCTTTCCCGTCAAAAATAAAAGCTGATCTAAAGAAGGTAATCCCATGATTAGAGCCAGGATTCCAGTAATTGTCAGCTCCCCAGCAGGAAGTCCTGCCATTTGATCCCAGTGATCTAAGTTGACTGCAGTCCCCCCACTGGGCAGGCTTAAAGTGACAAGACACAAAAACTCATTTTGTCTGATCAAGCCCCACTCTCTTGATAAGTCCATGTGTGACTGAAATTACTTTGATACTTTTTTGTATTATTATATTCACACTTGTTGGCTCTTAGTTAGGTTACATAAAAGAATGTTTGCTTTTAACTTGAAAATGTAATTCATAACAGGACTGTGGTCTGTACACTGACTATACAAGGGGGGTATGTTGGCTACACACTGGCCATATGTTGGCTACACACTGGCTACACATTGGTTACACACTGGCTACACATTGGCTACACATTGGCAACACTTTGACTTCACACTGGCTACACACTGGCTACACACTGGCCATATGTTGGCTACACACTGGCTAAACACTGACAAAACATGAAATAATTTCACACACACAAAGACAAAGAAAAGCTTATGGGAAATTAAATTTTGGATTGCTCAGAATAAAAGCACTTGACCTCCATTTTTCCTCTACTTGGCTGGGTATATTTGTTTCTGTAACCATGGAGACCAGAGACAGTGACAACAGAGAAATCTCTCAATAATTTTTTACCCTGTCAGCTAAAGACAGCTCAGGATTCATGTTGTTTGTTGATGCTGTAGCCATGGCAACATGACACCAGCTGTTCCATCAATCAGACTCACCAGGCTTTTGTTACATGATGCTAGGCTCTTCCCTCAGAGAGACATGGCTTGGTGTCATTTACAACAATATAGTTCACATACATTTTTGGATAAGACACTGTTTCTTGGTGGCATTTACAACAATATAGTTCACATACATTTTGGGATAAGAAACAAATGATGTTTCATCTTTTTCATTACATCTAAAACATGCTGGCCAATAAATACAACAAAATAGAAATAAAGATTTTTAATTGAAATTTAACAATTAATAATATTTACCTATTACACTGAACTTAAATTCTCTATCTAGCCCAAATCTAGAGATCTTACATATTGGACTGAACTAGAACTTTGTAACTAGCCCTTACCAAAAAATCTTACATAGACAGAACGAGAACTTTGTAACTAGCCCTTACCAAAAGATCTTACATAGACTATTGGAACTATAACTAGCCCTTACCAAAAGATCTTAACTCTACTGAATTAGAACTTTGTAACTAGTCCTTACCAAAAGATCTTACATAGACTGAACTAGAACTTTGTAACTGGCCCTTACCAAAAGATCTTACATAGACTGAACTAAAACTTTGTAGCTAGCCATAACCAAAAGATCTTACATCTCCAGACTTATGTTGACTGGCCGGAGTGTGGTAGCCAAAAATGTCCAAGAACGAGACTCCTCTGATTACGGTCACCTCCTGGAGGAAGTTCTAGCAGAAGACGGCAACTACGAGGACGTCATTGCTGTCGACTACTCTAATGTGTACGTTCTTTTTTTTATTTTATGGCTCTGGGCTCTACTCATTGGTTTGTTGCTTTGACTTTCCTGCCCATAATAAATTGATTCAACCTAAAATAAATTGTTACAATCTAACTTCATTAGCTCAGTAGAGGGTTACTTTGTCTTTCTTGCTCATAATAAATCATTACAATCTAATAAAAATTGTTACAACCTAATTTCACTAGCCCCTTATAAATTGTTACAACATAAAATAATTTGTTAAAATGTAATTTCACTAACCCATAGTAAATTGTTACAACCTATAATAAATTGTTACACTGTAATTTCACTACCACATAATAGTTACAACCTAAAATAAATTGTTACAACTTAACTTCACCAGCAACTTTATTTGTTCTCAGTTATGAAGATAGCCAGGAGTATAAAAAGCAGATAACTCCGCGCAAACGGAGAGTGGGTTATCCGCCCATTACACCTAATGCCTGTGTCAAGGACAGTGTAACCAGCAGTGCCTTTGACCAGCTTTGGCAAGATGTAAGTCTTAATTTTTGGGCCAAATATTTAGGCTCAACCTTTTTTTTTTATTCTTCAAGATAAAAAATGTCTTTGTTTTTTATTGCATGTCAGCCAAAAATTGTTATATAAATACATATATATACATATGTAAATAAAATAAGTATATTTGTAAGCACCTTTAGAATATATACAATTTAAAATAAGAAAATAGTTGTAACTGATTTATCTCCAGGTTATGACGTGGCTACAGCCCTTGTTGATAAAGTACAGCGAAGAAGTTTCAGGTACATTTACCTGTCACCATTTACTTTAAAAGTTTTTTTGTTTTGTGTGGGTGTTGAGTCCTTTATGTATATGGGTGCTGGGATCCTTTTTTTTTAAGGGGGGGGAGTGTTCCCTATATGTGGTGGTGTTGTGGCCTGTATGTGGAGGTTCTGGGATACTTCATGTTGTATTATATTGTGTACCACTCATGTATGTAGAAGACCTGTATAGACCAAAATGAGTCAACCTGATGGTGTTAAAGCAAATTGTTTTTGTGATTTGACAGATTCCAAGCCAGAGGTTCTCACATTTTCTCCTGTTGATCACAACCCTCCAGCCCCAGACCGCCAGAGTTCCTTCATCTCACACAGAGTAGGTCATCTATTTATAGTTCCTTCATCTCACACAGAGTAGGTCATCTATTTATAGTTCCTTCATCTCACAGAGTAGGTCATCTATTTATAGTTTCTTCATCTCACAGAGTAGGTCATCTATTTATAGTTCCTTCATCTCAAACAGAGTAGGTCATCTATTTATAGTTTCTTCATCTCACAGAGCAGGTAATCTATTTATAGCTCCTTCATCTCACACAGAGTAGGTCATCTATTTATAGTTCCTTATAATTTCACATAATAGGTCGTCTATTTATAGTTCCTTCATATCTCACACAGTAGGTCATCTATTTATAGTTCCTTCATCTCACACAGAGTAGGTCATCTATTTATAGTTTCTTCATCTCACATAGTAGGTCATCTATTTATAGTTCCTTCATCTCACACAGAGTAGGTCATCTATTTTTAGTTCCTTCATCTCACACACAGTAGGTCATCTATTTATAGTTTCTTCATCTCACATAGTAGGTCATCTATTTATAGTTTCATCATCTCACATAGTAGGTCATCTATTTATAGTTTCTTCATCTCACATAGTAGGTCATCTATTTATAGTTTCTTCATCTCACATAGGTCATCTATTTATAGTTCCTTCATCACACACATAGTAGGTCATCTATTTATAGTTCCTTCATATCTCATATAGTAGGTCATCTATTTATAGTTCCTTCATCTTACACAGAGTAGGTCATCTATTTATAGTAATTTGTTCCTTCACCACTACCAGTTTATTTAGCTCAGCTTTATTAATTTATTTTTTACACTTATTTCCAGCAAAATTCATTTCACCGTTCTAACACACAGCTGGGCAGCAGCACTGAGAGATCCATTGATGGAATCCTTCAGATCTCCAGCATTCCTCTCATGCACAGATTTCCAGGGTAAATCTTTGTTACTGGCCAGATTTTTTACATTTCATTGCCATATTGGCACCCTAAATATTATAATTTTACCTGCCAGATTTTTTGACATCCTGAAGTTATATTTTAATTGCCATATTGGCACCCTAAATATTAGTTTTACCTGCCAGATGTTTTGACATCCTGAAGTTATATTTTAATTGCCATATTGGCACCCTAAATATTATAATTCCTGAATGTTCTATTTTATTTCCATTTAAATATTTAACTGATCAAACTTCCAACAATTGAAATCTTGCATTACGATTCCATATTTCTGAATGACCTACGTGCCACTAACTCTCATTTTTGTCCTGTACACAGTGACACTGTAGAGCCTCACCTGACAGCCCCCCTAGTGAGCAGCCCCCCCACCCGCCCCATGAGTCATGTCAGACAAAGCACCAACTTAAAGAAAGGACGCCTGTTGCCCCTTCCCAAATCTTCAATGGTATGTTTTAGTTTTCATACAACTCTTTACCTACTGGTCTAGGAGACTAGTGTAGCACATAGTAACTTTGTATTAGCAGCTAGTTTTAAAATAGTCGATGCAAACTTATTCAAACACTTCCCACTGTGCCACCGGGACAAGGTCCTGACGGGACACAGGCCTGACATCCCACTGGGACTTAAACAACAGACAAGAACCTTCCTACCACTAGAAGACTACCTAAAAATATAATTCACACTCACACAAAAAATTACATTTCTGATTACATTTCTGTTTTTTATTTTTATAAAATTTATATCTTTAGCTTTTCAAAAAAATTAGATCTTAGCCCACACTTTTTTGGCTTATTTATTTGAAACGACGCTTAATAACCAACTGATTTCACTGTCAATATTTTCATACATTTTTTTTTTTAAAAGCCTGAGGAAACAAGTCCCACACCAGCTACCAGTGCCTTGAGGGTGAAACGAATAAATTTACCTAATGAGGGGGCGCCCTCCCCACCTGTCAGACATGGCACCCTCCCCCCACTGGACATGGAACGTACGCAGGTAAGTTTTTACATCCCTACTGGCAATGTTGGGTTTTTTTATCAGTTCTTACACAGGTGTTTACGTCCATACTGGCAATATTGGGTCTTCTAATCAGTCCTTTATCCTGCTATAGTCTTAAAGCAGTCTGGTTGTGTTTATTTAAACACTTGATTAGAGCTGTCTTAAAATCTTAACAGAAATATTTACCTTAATGTGAAACCATGAGTGTATGGAGGGGGGAAGGGGGGGGGGGGGGCTTATAAATACTTGAAATAATTTTCAGTGACTTAATATTATAAAATATTCTACTTAATTTTTAACGCTATTATCAAACCAATCGGAAAGTGAAATCTGTGTGTATTTACAAGGTGGTCAATCTTAGCTTCTTATTAAATTAGAGGTGGTTGTTGCCTTATTCCTTTAGGGAATTAACATTTCTTACACATATTTCCACACTAGCTGTTACTGCGTACCTGATAACCCATTTTTTTTTACCATTTACCTGACCATTAATAAGCCATTATTTTTACCATTTACCAGACCATTAATAAGCCATTATTACCATTTACCTGATCCTTAAAAACCCATTATTTTTACCATTTACCTGACCATTAATAAGCCATTATTTTTACCATTTACCTGACCCTTAAAAACCCATTATTTTTACCATTTACCTGACCATTAATAAGCCATTATTTTTCCCACTTACCTGACTTTTGATTATTTTTGTTCTAGAAAAAACTTTTCTCAGGGCACAGAGCTAGCAGCGCCATAGACAACAAAGATGTCCGCCTGCTGCCATTTAGGGAGCGACCCCACATCTTAACTGAGCAGGCCAGACCCAACACCACACACGCCATGCGGGTAAGGCCACACCCAACACCACACACGCCATGCGGGTAAGGCCACACCCAACACCACACACGCCATGCGGGTAAGGCCATACCCAACACTACACATGCCATGTGGGTAAGGTTGGCCAGGAACATATTTGCTTTGCTGGAATGGGCTTCAGCACTTTTGTTCATCAGATGTGTTAACCTTTGTATGATCTAAACATCCATTCAGCCAAGTGGAATGGATCTATAAATAGAAAGCTCATTTATGATTGTAGTTAATTTTGTGTGTATTAGAGATAGCAACTGAAAAACAGATTACATTAAGAATAAAATATTAAATGAAATATAAAATTTGATTAACAGTTGGGATTAAAATAGATTAGATTAAGATTAAAAGATAACATTGAGAAAAAAAATTTAGTATACAATATTTAGATTATTTAAAAAGATTAGAATACAACATATTATGGAAAAAGTATCAAGTTAAGAATAAAACATTAGATAAAAATAAAGAAATTAGAAAGATAGAAATTATTAGATTGACAATAAAAAAATAAGAAGAAGAATAAAAAGGTTGAATCTTTCATGTCTTTATTTACCAGCTGGATTCCCCCTTTGGTGGTCCTTCACTGCGCAGGTCTTCAACTCCACTCGGCAACTCAATTATATCTCGCAATAATTTAATGGGTAATTAATTGTTTTTTTATTTCACTCAATTTTTGTTTAAACAATATACTATCAGGTTAGTTTAGCAATTTGTATTAAATTCTATATAAATGGTGTAGATTGGGTTTTTTAAAATTTGAATTAACATAAGAATTAGTTGTCCAGCTAGTACATCCCTTTAGTAAGCTTTTATAAATTGTGTATAAATGTATGTTGAATGTCTTTGTGCCCAGCTAATGAGTCTGTGAAGTTATGAATTGTGTAGAAATGTATGTCAAATGTATGATGATTGTTTAAAAATTTTTGTGTCCAGCCAACAAGTCCCTGGACGTGAGGGGCAGCAGCCTGCAGCACAGTGGGGACGTGTTGCACTACCCAGACATCCAGGAGGACCAGCAGGAGAACCCAGAGGACGAGGTCTACAAGACAGTCTACAGTAAGTCTGATTCAGCCCTTTGGTGATTTCACGGCCACACAATTAGCACTGCAGCTGTTTCAGTGTTTATTGGCTCATTCTACGGAGTTGTTGTTGTGGTAAAACCAGACCACACAATTAGCACACCAGCCATTTCAGTTTTAATGAAATACTACAAATGTGTTCTGTTTGTTAGTTCATTCTACTGAGTCTTTTTTTGTGTTCATTGTACAACTAAATTATTTTTGTATCTTGTCTACAATTTAGTACTTTATTATTTATACAAAAAAAAATGTTGTATTCAATGTTGTATGACTAAGTTTTGTTTCAATAAAAAAGCAGTCATGTTTTTAAATTCTCAGTATTTTTGTTTCTCTGTCATCTTGATTTCTTGTTTTTGAGTTCTTCAAGCAGAAGTTTATTTTGAAATTTACCTTCAAATTTTCAATTTATTAAATGTTCCAACAAATTTGTACAGCTTTAGGTGTCTTGTTTTGTTCTTACATTTTTCAAAGTTTTGTTGAATTTTGTGTTAGATAATAATCCTAATGAGGCAACTGAATAATTTGTACACTTATAAAAACATTTGCTGACTAGTGGTTATCTAATGAGGTTCTCTTACAAATATCTACCATATCCCATATCTAAGGATAAATAGTGGTGACACCATACCCCATATCCAAGATTAAGTAGTGGTGATACCATATCCCATATTTAAGATTAAATAATGGGGATACCATATCCCATATCCAAGAATAAATGGTGGTGCTATCACATAACTAAAGGCAACCACTTCACATGACTTCATCAATCACATATTTTATTTTACAAATTAGCAGACACTATAAAACCAATTATAAAATGTCAGTATATTTAAAGGTTTATAAATGTCTCAACTGCTTTGACTGTCTTTACTATTTGTTTGTCCTACATATACATGTACTAGACACATTCCTCTATCTCTCACATTTGGTTTTAGAGACTGACTTACTTCTTTCCCCAGATGTTCCACAGACAACCAACCAAATCAGCTTCAGTCGAAATCGTTTGTCTTTGAGATGAAATCTAGCGCCAGTGTAAGCAAGAGAACTGTTCAAGACTCACCACTCAGGAATTGGTCAACAGCGCCACTGTGTCAAATAAACCTTCAGGATCAGATGTGGCTTCTGTGGAGAATTTATAGCTGTTATATGGTCTTTATCTGGCCAGTAGCTGACCATTATCTGGCCCGAAGGTGACCATTATCTGGCCAGTAGCTGACCATTATCTGGCCATGAACTGACCATAAACTGGCCATTGCCTGACCTTTTTGGCCATTACCTGAACATTATCTGGCCATTACCTGAATATTATCTGGCCATCATGTGGCCAGCCGCTGACCATTATCTGGCCAATTCCTGATCATCATCTGGCCTAACATGACAAGTAGCTGGTCAGTTTGACGACAGTGTCAACCTTGTAGCCAGTCATGCAGTAATATTTCTGGTGCACTCTAGAGCACAACTGTACCCAAAGATCAGAACTGTCTTAGATCTGGTGTGTTACTGTGTCTGTTACTGTAGTCGGTGCAGCTTCGGTTTCATGTACATTGAAGAAAAAATTGAAACCAAAATCTATCTAAAATTCATGGAGAAAAAGTGTTTGAACTGATGTTTTAAAAGTGGGCATAATTCATGGATGTGAAATTTTTAACAATTGAAAAAAAAATGGAAAAAAAATGTTTGAATTTTCAAATCTCCTGCACTGTTGAATTCAGGGATTACGTATTTCTGATGCTGTGTTAGTTTGTATTTTGGCTAGAGGAGGCAAACTCCCTTAGAGTTTATTTTTGTATCATTGAACAAACATTTATTATGCATGATTGGATCTACATATCTGTCTCATTATTTCCTGTTTGTTGTAACTGTTGTGATCCAGTTCCAGCAGTAAAAAAAAATCTTGAAGTAGAATTATTATTTCTTTTACATGAAAGCTCTAATATGGTTTATTTGTGTTTTATTTATAATTATGGTCTGGTTAACATATTTCATTGGTTGGGGGATGGGGTGGAATATTTTTTAAAAATTACTAATTAGTGGGGGGATGGGGATGAAATGACAATTTTAAAGAATTACTAATTACTTTTGAATTATTTTGGGTAGAGGACATTGTTTAAGGGTAAAAAAATAAGTCACCATGGCAATGTAATCAGGTGATACAACAGGCCAGAATTGGTCTTGTTGAAACTGCAGTCATATGTAGATTATTTTGTTTAAATTGGGGGTAGGGGTGGGTGGGGCTGGGCTTGAACATGTACTAGGGGAGGGGAGGGATATACAAGCACAGTACTACCTCACAGTGAATCACTTTTTGCATCACACTTGCAGCAAAATTGTCTCATCATACCAGCCTGGCCGTAGCCTCAGTTGTTTTTACAGGATTTGACCAGACTCAAGTCTTTGTTTTCATTGACTGAACACAGCTTTAATGTTTTCATTGACTGAACACACCCTTAATGTTTTCATTGACTGAACACACCCTTAATGTTTTCATTGACTGAACACACCCTTAATGTTTTCATTGACTGAACACACCCTTAATGTTTTCATTGGCTGAACACACCCTTAGTGTTTTCATTGGCTGAACACACCCTTAATGTGTTTTCATTGACTGAACACAACCTTAATGTGTTTTCATTGACTGAACACAACCTTAATGTGTTTTCATTAATTGACTGAACATAACCTTAATGTGTTTTCACTGAACATAACCTTAATGTGTTTTCATTGACTGAACACAGCTTTAATGTGTTTTCATTGACTGAACACAACCTTAATGTGTTTTCATTATTTGACCGGACTTAACACAGCCTCAATGTGTTTTCATTATTTGACTGAACACAGCTTCAGTGTGTTTTCATTATTTGACTCAACACAACCTTAATGTGTTTTCATTTATTGACTGGACTGAACACAGCTTTAATGTGTTTTCATTATTTGACTGAACACACCCTTAATGTGTTTTCATTATTTGACTTGACTGAACACAGCTTTAATGTGTTTTCATTATTTGACTGAACACACCCTTAATGTGTTTTCATTATTTGTCTTGACTGAACACAGCTTTAATGTGTTTTCATTATTTGACTGAACACAACCTTAATGTGTTTTCATTATTTGACTTGACTGAACACAGCCTCCATGTGTTTTCATTTATTGACTCAACACATCCTCATCAAAGTGTTTCACTGTAAATGACCTTCCCACCTGAATCACAACCATCCGAGTTAATTTGCTATGCAAATTCTGTTATTTTTGTCTGTTACCTTTGTCGGTTATTTTTGTCAGACTCCAAAGCTTTATGTTGTGACAATCACGTCAGACATCGTGTCCTTCACCACTGTCTGCTGTTACTAATCTATTGATATGTTACAGGCAGTTTTTATACATGTCATTATATAATGTCTCTCAATCTGATTCTCTTGTTACCAAATATTTCAACTGATTAATTTTTAAATAATTTCTCATCACCAAAGTTTTTAGTACAGAAATTCTTTTCAAATTTTAGTTCACCCTTATAATAATATATATAACAAATACATTTAAAAAATTAAGACTAAATAATATCTGTTAAAACATGTTTAAAATTTTTTAGTGTATTAATGAATTAACTTTAATTAATTTTGTTACAGGCATTAATTAAATTGTTTATGATTCTGAATATAAGAAAAGAAACTAAAACCCATATAACAGTACTTGTTATCAGGCTCTTACTGTCCACAAAAATGCTTTAGTTATTTTCTTTGGTAGAAGAGCTAGTATAGTATTTGAGTAAATGAAAAAACTGGATTAGAAAAGGAAAGGATTAAATTCAATGAAAGTCTTGATACCAGGCTTTCTTTATATCTCTGTTATTTTCCTAAGTTTTTTTTTTTTTTGTGACTATTTCCAATCCAGGAATAAAATCAATCTGTGTTTGCACTTGATGAAACTATAACAAAATATTTTTTTCAAAATATAGCTGCAATAGAAAAGCATTTCCAAAAAAGCACTTTTTATTCTCATTAATTCTTTGTGTGTAGTAGTGTAAACATTAATTTCAAAGGAAAAACTGGAAATGATATACAATTATACTTGTTTAATAAATTATGTTAATTTTTTAAAATCTGTTAGGGTAATATAAAATTTAATTATAAAATGTCTTTCTTTTAGTAGTGCTTTTTAAGCTACTTTGGCTAGCCTTTGACTTAACTTTCCTGCAGCAACTAGCTGTTTAAATGAGGGGTTAATGTGATGTGTAAGAGTTTAGATTAACCTAATCTTTTCATTTTAAATAAATAGTTGTTTACATTATCCCATGTCACAAAATGTGCTTTGTTTCATCTAGTGATATTTATAGAGCAGTTTACAAATTGGGGTCAGGCTAATAATAGCTACTAGTATGTCTGTAGAAGTGGTTTGAGAATTATTATGTTATATTGGAGTTGTACTGTTAACAAATGCAAGAGCTTTTTGAGAACCACTGTGTGTATTTGGATGAACTGATGTGATTTTGAGTGTGATTGTTTAACCACTACTAGTGTTATGATTTATTTGAGACCCATTGTGTATGTATAAAAATATTTTGAGAAAAATTGGTTTATATGTGAGAATGAGATCAGCCACTGTTGATTTGATAGTGAGAGTGACTGATGTGAGAACCACTAGGTATGAAAGAATTAAATTGGCCGCTATGTAACAATTGATGAGAGTTGTGTGAGAACCAATTTGTAACAAAGGCTGACCAAACCAAATTTTGAACATGTTTTTTAAAATGCAAATATTTATTTACACATCAGTAAGTCACATGACCTGTTTCAACCAATTATTGTATACAGTTATTTTTTTGTCTTGATAATAAATGGCTCTCAAAACAATATTTGTTGTTCTTGCCTTGTATAATCTATGTAATGATGGGACCCGGATTATCTTTATTCACAACTATTTTATGAATGTAAAAATTTGAAATTATAATCATAAGCCAAAAGCTTTCCATAACCAAAAGTTGTGACAATGTGAGACCAATTTAATTTTGTGAGGAATATTTTATGAAATTATTAGCAAAACACAATCAGTAAGCCCCTATTATTAATGAAAATGTTGATAATGGTTAAAAATGTATTCTTTAATTTTTGGTAGGTGCGATATTTTGTTTTTAGAATGGGCTGCTATGTAGTTTGATATTAAGAACATTGAATAGTTTAAGGTTTATAAGGCATTGTACGTTAGTGTGCATACATATTTGTATATTCAGATCCAGCTTATCTTGAAAGCAGCAGGTTCTAATTAATCAGCCATTTTACTTATTCTCATGGTCATGCAGTGACCTTATCCTAGATCAGCTTTAGTTGTTTTCTTTTTAGTGGTTGAAATTAAAGATGGTTTAGTGCATTGATTAACCTAACTGAAAACACAGTGTTAGGATTAGGTTTGAAGTAACATCAGCTGTACAGGTATCCAACCTGCCAACAGTAAAAAAAACAAAGTAACTAAAAAACCTGGCAGTAAACAAAATGATTTAATCACAGATAATTCCTTGCTCAACATCACATGCTAGGTGAGACTTGCAACCAGATCTAAAAACTTCTAAAACACTGGTGGGTGGACATATATACTCATCAATACATATAAGGACTGCTAAATTGAACTACTTAACTTGGAGATTTACTATCATAAACATAACTTTAAAAAATTGTTTATAGATTCTGTAGGTTTATGAGCTATATTAAACACAGCTATGTATGTGGGTATACCAGTAGATAAGCTATGTTAAACACAGCTATGTGGGTATATCAGCTATGCTGAACAGCAATATATATAAGTTTACCAGCTATGTTAAACACAGCTATATTAAAGTTATATATGTTGCTATACCAGATGTTATATAAGCCACATATGTGGGTATACTAGTATACCAACTATGCTAAAGACAGTGTCATATGAGTAAACCTGCTATGTTAAACACAACAACATATTTGCTTCTATCAAGTTAACTAGGTGCTCAGAGTGTGCCCATATGTACAGCTACACACAAACATTCTCGGCATTATTCAAATACATCATACACAATTGATAACATTATAATTTAAGAGGATGCTGGGAAAGTGTAAATATAAACTAGATGCAGTCAACATTTGTTTACATTATGCTAAAAACATTACCATACATAATATTACAATGACTATTTTCAGTCACGTATAATGAAAAGTGTAGCATTAAAATATCTATAAATATAAATTAATCGTTTGAAATATGTATATCTCCAACAGCTAAACTATTTCTAAAAGCCTCCATGCAGACAGGCCTTTTGTTACCCTGTGGTACTGAGATTAAAAGTACAAGAAATCTAAACAAATTCTCAAGAAAGACAACTGGTTTAATATACAATTGTTCAAACTGGGTTATACAGCCCTGCAGTCAGAGTTACGTCCCCTTGATATGTTAGCAAAGAGATCAGGGTAGATTTGGTCACAATTCAGTTAATTAGTTAATTTATAAAAGCCATTAGATTAATTAACTAGGAAGAGCAATTTAATTAATTAGCTAGATAAAAGAATTATAGAACATAGGATTTTTTTTACAAGAAAATAAATGCAGAGTTGATAACACTTAGGTGACACAAGATGATTTGAAGTTTGAGAGAGCCAGTACATGAACTTAAATAAACTATCAGTAACTGAGTGTGTGAGCTGGGGGGGGGGGGGGGCCTCAATCGTAATAGCAACTTAAACAATTCTACAAAACAATTCACGGCAGATGTAAAATATTTTTGCTGACTTTTACTTAAAGTAGCAACATAACAAACAAATCTACAAAACAATTTACGGTGGATGTAAAATATTTTAGCTGACTTTTACTTAAAGTAGCAACATAACAAACAAATCTACAAAACAATTTACGGCAGATGTAAAATATTTTAGCTGACTTTTACTTAAAGTAGCAACAAAACAGACAAACCTAGAAAATACTTCACAGCATACATTAAATATTTTTAGCTGACTTTTACTTAAAGTAGCAGCATACATTTTTTTTTCAACACACCAATCTATAGCATATACAATATTTTAGCCTGGTTTTCATTTAAAATAGAAACAATAACAAATCTAAAACAACAGCAGAGGTCATACACTTGAGCTGTGTTTTACTTTCTACTTCAGCTGGTCAAGATAAGAGGGGATATCAGAAGCCAGATAATACATCACAGGTCATACACCATACTTAGCAGTCATTCCTATAGAACCAAGCAATATATACTCATTTACAGTCATTCCTATAGAACCAAGCAATATATACTCATTTACAGTCATTCCTATAGAACCAAGCAATATATACTCATTTACAGTCATTCCTATAGAACCAAGCAATATATACTCATTTACAGTCATTCCTATAGAACCAAGTAATATATACTCACTTACAGTCATTCCTATAGAACCATGCAATATATACTCATTAACAACCAAACGTGATATACACTTCATAGCTATTCATTTACATTTAAAAATGCTTTACATTGCCACAAAAAAAATAATTACAAAACAAATAGTTTCATATTTTTAAATTATAATTAAATTAATTAGCATAAATTACTATGAACATGCATGCTTGTAGTCAGTATCAAAGATGAGGTTATATTAAGATAACAGTGTAATGGGTTGATTAACAGAGGAATCCTATCCTATGAATTATTACATTTTTATCACAGTCCAGACTGATTCAAGACCATTTTTACATTTTCTAGTAAACAAAAAAAATTGACTATACTGTTTGTGTAAGAACTTACTGAATGTACCTAAAACAAATGAAGAAAATTATTAAGGTAAAAGGTAATTAATGACAATTTGTGAGGAAATGGAGAGTTATCTCACATCTCATAAAAATAAATATGGAAGACCAAAGTCTAAATTAAAAAATAAATAAATAAAACCACTTCACAATTTAAAATCATATTTCTGATCAAATTAACAAAATAATTCTGAAAAAAAAAACAAGAATATAAAAAAAAATAATTAAAACTAAAATAAGTTAAACTATGGTCTGGGATATTATGGCACATATATTTGCATACATCCTAACGCTTCATGATAATAAGGCTAGATTTTGTACCTCTTTGCAATTCTATGCAATCAATAATTCAATGTACACACAGGGACAACATAAATAATCTAAACAAATGTTCAGTTTAGTAATACATTACCTGATATATAAATAAATGTAATACCTATTAGCTCCACGGTTCAACAAGTCTTACAGTGGACAGACAATAATTATTGAAGACCTGAGCGCAAAAAGTACTTAAGTCAGAAAAACAACATTTTGAGATAAACCAGGTTAAAAATTTAAATTGGCTATAAGAGGTGATTTTTAAAAAAAAATGTGTTTGTTTGCAAGAGAGGCACTTAAATGAATACTTCACTATTAATACGTGTACAAAAAAAGAGTCATCTTAGAGGAATAATGACCAGTGCTTTGTTAGATTTCACAAAAATCTGACTTAAGTTCTTTTAACACTAGGCTCTTCAATTTCTTGTTTAAATCAATGAATGTAATACCACTTCACAGTTCAAGAGCAGTTCTAAGCGGACTGAGAATTTCTTATTTTTACCCTTCTCCGATAGACAACAAGACTACTTTAAACAAGTAAGTGTGGGGGGTGGTGAGTCAGTCACACAGATTTAGTCCCTCGACATGAGCAATTTGTGCAAGTTTTGTCATGGGAAAAAATACCATCAGATAAGAGCCAGATATATTACATGAATATGTGTTGCATGTCAGTACATATAACAAAAAATATAAACATTCATGTACAGGAGATCATCAAACAGTTATCAAATATCTTTATAGGGGTACCACACCGGCAGGCTCTACAGTCAAAATTTGCAGCAACGTGAATACTATGTTGTTACGTTATGTGTAATTTAAAATGTATGTTAAATCATATTTATGTAACTTAAAGAAAATATGTTTAAAAAATACCTCAGTTTTAAATATATTAATAATATATGTTAAACCTTCAACAAAACATATTGTTCAGTTTGGAAAATTGAAATGGGGACCCAATACATAAACAAATGTGTTGTGGGGGAGTAGACTAGAAGAACACAGTGGTTCTACGCTAAAATAAATAGTGACATCCACGTTGTTGCTGGGGATATTTGTTGGCAGATGAGGTGGAAAGTGCACTTTCAGAAAAAATTTTAATACTAGGAAAAAAAAAGTTACAAGTTAAAAATAAAAATTCTTCAGGCTATAACAATATCAGGAGGATTATTTGACAAGAGCTACAATATGTTTCCATAAGGCTAAAAATTACTCTACATCAATTTAAGATTATCATTTTGATAAATATACATTGCAATACAAATTTACTTAACTCATTAAAAAATGTTTGCAAACAATATATAATGCCAGATTATTCCTTGTATTTGAACACAGTGAGTGAAAAAGAAGAACCTCAACACCAGATGCTAAGAGGAGAAGAAGAAATTGAGGGCCCTGTTTACATCGTAGTCAGCAGCAAAGGCTATCCTGGTCAGTTCCTCAACAGGGACACTCTCACCAACGATGTCCCTCAAGTTCCTCACACACACGTCCAGCCGGGCTGAATCTTCCACCAACTGTAGGTCATCAAAGGAGCTGGACGTTGACAGGTCCAAACCCTAGGGAAAGTTGGGAGGCCATGTGAAAACTTCTGACATATTCATTAGGGGAATGTGAAAATATCTGATAGATTCATTAGTAAAATGTGAAAACATCTGAAAGATACACTAGGAAAAATTGAAAACATCTGATAGATCCAAATCCATTTTAAAAATGTGAAAACTAACAGTATCACTAGGAATATGTAAAGACAATCTAACAAGATATCCACTGGGAAGATGTGGAAATAATCTAATAGAGCTAGCAAAAAAGCAATCTCAGATGGCAATGTTGACCCTACTATACGTAGAAACTTTCAGCATAGAAAGTAGAGGTTAACAAACTGTGGAGAGAGAGATTAATTACCAATAGAAACTAACTTCCTGTAGAGGAATTAAATTATTAACCATCAGAGGGAATACATAAAGGAGTAGAGAAAGTAGTGACTAAATAGCAGTATAGAATTAGAGAATTACTACAAGCAGATAAAGTAGAGACTAAGAGCCAGTAGAGAAAAAAGTAGAGACAATCTTCCCATATAGAAAGTAGAGACAACATCCAGTATAGAAAGTAGAGACAGTCTACAAGCATAAAGAGACCTACCCTCTCCTGTGACAAGTCCATGTTTGCTACCAGTTCATCCACTTCACTGAGACTAGATGTGGAGCTGGGGGTCCCTAAATGGTGGCCTTGTGATGACTGGGTTCTTGGCTCTAGGCTGGACACAAAGGGAATCAAAGCGTGAGGAAAACATTTTGTGTAAGGAAATCAATGTAAATAGCTTAATGGAAACATTTCATGTAAGGAAACAGGAAATCAATGCAAACAGCTTATTGGAAATATTTTATGAAAGAAAAACAAAACAATTATAAACTGTGCATGTAAATATTTTATATAAGGAAAAAGTAAATCAAAGTAAACTTTACAGGAACATCCATGATTGAAAATTAACAGTAGAATGTGTTGAGAAAAAATAAATAAACCTTTTTAAAAAAATGAATTTATAAAGAACACTTGTTCTAGTTAAAGGACTTTTATTTACAAATGAAACCAAAACTTGAAAAAAAGTAAGCAAATTATATTTTTTGTCATAGTATGCAGCATTACAATTAGTAAAAAGGTCACAAAGGTTTCATAATCTTTTTTCCTGTTTCCTTCAATGCTCGCTTTCTGCAAAAAGGTTCTAATTAAATAGTCTCTCAATAAAGAAAAATATACCATGTTTACATTACCAGTTTAAAACACAAGCATTGTATACTATTCATTTCTAAGAAGAAAAACGCAACTATTATGTTCCTTGGCGAAAATGTTTCAAAATATAATTAAATTATTGCAGGTTTTTTTTCCAGACATGTATGTATACATGTCGGGTTTAATTTATTTTCTATTTATTCAACACTTCATTTACCAGTAAACAAAAACAAAACTTACCCCTGCCAAACTATTGCATCCTGTACCTCATCTTTCAAGTGGTCAGGTAACTCATCATACACTTCACTGAAGGTGATGTCTTGATGCTCAACAACATAGTTTAAAGCTGAATCCTGCAATACATCAAAGATAGCATAAAATATGCACAATGTTACACATCATATTATTAAGCCTGAGCTATAAACGAACAATTTTAAGCTTTCTGAAAATGGTTACAGACAATAATTTTAAATTTACAAAAAAAAAAAAAAAACATGAATGGATTTAAAATAGTGCCAAATAAAATGTTAAAAATAAAAATTGAAGCAATAAAATAATATTGGAAAATGACTCTGGGGAAACCAAAAACCAGACTTTTAACACCCAGAAAATAATTAATATCTGGGACAAAAAAAAACAGTCACCCTTAAATTTCTGCTATTGAGGTGGTCAGCAAGGTTCAGAAGGCACAGTGCATTCTCCTCATCCAGGTGAGACTTGAGTTCCTGCTCACACACCTGCTTTAAGCTGTCCATCTGGGAACATATGTTTTAGGTGTCAAAAGTTAGCTATTAATTTAAGAAAAAAAAATTAGTTTATTTAAACACTGAACTAACAACAACTTGCAAGTGGCCACTTAGGCTAAGGTTTCTTTTTTATTCAGCCAATTATTTATATCTTGCCCTAAGAAAAAATCCACCCTTTCAAATGCCGAGGTAAAAAAATATAAATTTTATCTGCCATTCAGATTATTAGGTTTGAAAGGGGAACTTTACTAACTTACTAAGAAAAACTGTTCAGTTGATGTTTAAAAAACTAACAAACCTCATATCTATCACAAAAATCTGGTGAGTTGATGTACAAAAAAACAACAAACCTCGTATCTATCACAGAGTGTCATCATATCTGCCAGCTGTTCAGCATTAAGGCTAGTAATATCTAAATGTCCTGAGTATAAGGCTTCAAGAAACAGAGTAAATAATTCAGGATTTGTGTCATGTACAATAATTTTTCTGAAAGAAGAAAGAAAAATATTTGTTACATTTTTAAAATATAGTTGGCTAAATCTGGACAAATTAAAAAAGAAATAACCTCAAATGTGAACAAAGTTATAAAGTGAGGAAGTATTAGGATAAGAAAAAGTTTTTAAAGTGTAATTTTTTACTCTGCTATGCCCAAAAATGTGCTTGTGATTTTTAATGTAGTACTGTCTGATTCAGCCCATTAATTTCTGTGTTGTAATAAAGTCTCATTGTTTATGAGTTTTGAAAATAGAAATCCTAAATAAAGCTTAATTTACAAGTTTTTCTCATCAAGAGTAATTAATTTTCTATTACTTTTCCAAAGCTAAACATTTTCTGTTTTAAATTTGCTGATGTGACTAGTGATATCAAAAAAGAAAATAGTTCCGGTGAAATTTTTATTAGCATTTAAACTCAAACATAATAGACTGAGACTATTTTCCTGTGTAGGACTAATGCATATGTTTTCAATTTTTAAATATAGACCTATATAAAGAAAATTGTACTAATTTAAAAAAACAAAATATGGCCAAGTTGAAAAATGCAATGTTATTTTGTTTGGTCATACTGAAGTAAAATAATTTTTAATACACAGATAGTAAAGGGTTAAACAAAGCAAATGTCAATGAGCTACCTGTCAATGAGATACTACTCAATACTAAAGTGTTAAAGTAACTGAGCTACCTGTCAATGAGCTACTACTCAACACTAAAGTGTTAAAGTAAATGAGCTACCTGTCAATGAGATACTACTCAACACTACAGTGTTAAAGTAAATGAGCTACCTGTCAATGAGATACTACTCAACACTAAAGTGTTAAAGTAAATGAGCTACCTGTCAATGAGATACTACTCAACACTAAAGTGTTAAAGTAAATGAGCTACCTGTCAATGAGATACTACTCAACACTAAAGTGTTAAAGTAAATGAGCTACCTGTCAATGAGATACTACTCAACACTAAAGTATTAAAGTAAATGAGCTACCTGTCAATGAGATACTACTCAACACTAAAGTATTAAAGTAAATGAGCTACCTGTCAATGGCTTCCTTCATCCCACTCAGCAAAGCCCGCCTGAACCAGTCACACCGTGCTGCCACGACCACACGATGCGCTCGGATTTCGTGAACTTCGACCTCATCATGAGCCTCGGGCCCTGAGCTTTTAGCCATCTCTGCCCCAGCACAGCCGTCAGCCTGGCTTGCTGTGTGGTCAATTATAATATCACCTCCCTCTGTAGGCAGGAGAAAAATTTGTTTCAATTATAATATCACCTCCCTCTGTAGGCAGGAGAAAAATTTGTTTCAATTATAATATCACCTCCCTCTGTAGGCAGGAGAAAAATTTGTTTTAATTATAATATCACCTCCCTCTGTAGGCAGGAGAAAAATTTGTTTCAATTATAATATCACCTCCCTCTGTTTGCAGGCAGGAGAAAAATTTGTTACAGGGGAAGAAGGTTAACATGCACTTCCAATAAAAAATTTAAAAATTTATTCTTAACACCAAAAATGTAATTTAGAGAAGGTGTTTGGTGAACTTAACTTTATCAGAGACAGTGAAGTGACCAAGCACAAAGTGGTCCAATGGAAAGATAAAATCAAGGCAGGACACATGAGTCTAATGGGAAATTTGTGCAACAAGTACTGAATAGTCAGGGACTGACCTGGCAAACTGACCACCTCAAAGACCATGTCAGTGTCATCACAAGCTCTAAACAACTCCAAGGCTCTTTTGGCTGTACAACTTTGGCTGGCAGTTGGAGATACACACAGGGAGTCCACACAGCTGAGCTGAAATAGATAAACACATGAGTCAACACAGCTGAAATAGATAAACACATGAGTCAACACAGCTGAAATAGATAAACACATGAGTCAACACAGCTGAGATAAACACATGAGTCAACACAGCTGAGATAAACACATGAGTCAACACAGCTGAAATAGATAAACACATGAGTCAACACAGCTGAAATAGATAAACACATGAGTCAACACAGCTGAGATAAACACATGAGTCAACACAGCTGAAATAGATAAACACATGAGTCAACACAGCTGAAATAGATAAACACATGAGTCAACACAGCTGAAATAGATAAACACATGAGTCAACACAGCTGAGATAAACACATGAGTCAACACAGCTGAGATAAACACATGAGTCAACACAGCTGAAATAGAACACATGAGTCAACACAGCTGAAATAGATAAACACATGAGTCAACACAGCTGAGCTGAAATAGATAAACACATGAGTCAACACAGCTGAGCTGAAATAGATAAACACATGAGTCAACACAGCTGAAATAGATAAACACATGAGTCAACACAGCTGAAATAGATAAACACATGAGTCAACACAGCTGAAATAGATAAACACATGAGTCAACACAGCTGAAATAGATAAACACATGAGTCAACACAGCTGAAATAGATAAACACATGAATCAACACAGCTGAAATAGATAAACACATGAGTCAACACAGCTGAAATAAAAACATACCTGAGTAAACACAACCAAAGTGTCAGCGTTTCTATTGTACATCCAGAACTATTTCCCAAGCATCATGACTAAAAAGTCATATAACACTTCAAAATGTCACATTTTACCACATTTTTGTATTGAGTTGTCAGCACTGTCCCTCAGCCACCTTCACAGTCCCCCCCCCCCCCCCCCCCCCCCATATTTTTTGTAAAACTCACCTGAGCATATTTTGTTGTGTGCCCAGCTGCAGCAGAAAACAGGGCATCTTTCCCTGAACTGTTCTGGACAGGTGAGGGGTGGTCAGCTGGCAGTTTTAAGCCAAGGGTCACAAGTGATGCAACAAACTGCTCACTGCGCACAATGTCACACATCTCATCAATCATAGGCTGCAGGGCTGTACGGTGGGACTGGACTTTAGCGAGTCCCCAAGACTGAAACAGAGATAACACAAATCTTTTATTTCACAACAGAAAGGCAATATAATTTTATACTCTTAAAAACTTTTTACATTTCCTTTAAAAATAAAATTGCAGAGATGTAACCGAGTACTTTGAAAACATAAAATGTTTTATTTGCCAGAAATCACATTTCTTCTAACAATGGAAAATAAAATAAATTTTGTGCTTACAACTTTAGAGGTAGCCATTTTGAACAAGTATTTCCACTCCTTCCATGTGACCTTCTCATCTAAGGCTGCTATGATCTCTCTCAAACGTATAACAAACGATGGGAACTGAAGAAATAAAATTAAATTTTTCTCTTTTAAATGTTCCACAAATGATGGGAACAAAAGAAAACAATTGTATAAATTACATTCAGGTTATGAGAAATGCTACTAGATCACTAAACTGTATGGAGAAAGATTTACTAGATTAAGTTAACTCATTTATAATTAGGCAAGTGTAAATTCAGATAAGTATTTGCGGCTTCACATAGCCTGTTTCTTACACAACACAACCTACCTCATCAACTTAAATAACGCATAGCCTGTTTCTTACACAACATTTTCACAACCTACCTCATCAACTTAAATAACGCATAGCCTGTTTCTTACACAACATTTTCACAACCTACCTCATCAACTAGGTGGACTAAGGACTGGGACACAGACCTCACTTTATCTGGCTGACTTTTCATGTTGAAATTCTCCCTAAAACATAAAATCACACAAAGTAGATATTACAATTTCACTTCCTAAACAAATTTTAAAGGTGTTTTAAATTTCCTAATGCACACAATTTTAAAGGTTTTAATATTCATAAAGCTCACAATTAAAAAGATGTTTTACATTTCTTAACACACCTATTTTACACAAAGAGCATTTCTAAGGCTTTTAGATAAATGAACCAAAATAGTTGAATAATTACCTCTTCTGTCGTAAGTGTTGGAAACTTGAAGTTGTCCTGTCATGAAAGTGTTTGAGCTTCTTTAATTCTTTTAAATGTAAAGCCTAGGGGAAAAAGGATATCTTTACCATGCAGTTTTATACAGGATTCTGATTCTGTAGAATAACTTAATTATGCATTACCAAATATTACACCATTGTTTAGTACCCACATGCTTTAGAGTTCGTCCTAATGCATCTCCTACACTGCTACGTTTTGATTTGTCTAGCTTCTCTCCCTTTTCAACAACTTTTTCATTACTTGTGGTGATAGCCTGTTCAAGTGCAGACTTTGTTTCATTGGCAAACCTAGACATTGTGTCTAGAATGGTTTCCATCTGTGGCACAAATAAAAATGTCTTGTTTATAAACTTGCAAGAAAAAAAACACATTTAAATATATCTTAGTTTTAAAACTGTTATACATTTAAATATATAACATGTTCTATAAAAAGGTTAAAACAGTCAACTATTTAATAAATGTAATGCTGATCAACAGAATAGCAAGAAATACATGTGCAGGGGAAAAAATTTGGCACAACAGAGCAGTAACATAGGTCTAACAAAAAGGCCACACAGGTAAGATTACTTTGGTGCAGAAATAACTTCAGAAACAGTAACATGGAGCAGACAGAAAGGTCCAACAGGGGGAAGACAGAAAGGTTCTACAGGCATAAAATACTTAAGTGCACACAAAAAATCTGGCACACCAGAATATTAATCCAGGGTAGACAGAAGTCAAACAAGCTGGAACAATTCCTGTGTGATATGTGACAAGAAGCTTAAACAGGGCTGAGAATCAGTTGATACATTCATAAACATCTTTGTTGCCAGTATTTCTACCAGGTGAATGACTATGATGCTTCAATGAAAGAAGCCCATGCCTTAGATTTGAATACTTTTTACTATAATTTCAAATGGGCTGTGAGCCAGCCTAATGAAGAACTTGGCCATACCTCTGGGACCAGATAAGCTGCTATATCAGTCCTCTGTGGTTGTGTGAGGGCCTGTAGGTGAGATTTGACTGTGGTCAGCAAGGTCAGCACTTGCTTCATAAACACAGGTATCCTGGAATATAATGGTTTCATATTTTTATTGAGACATTGAAGACAAGGATTATTATACCATTTCATAAATACACCGTTGATTAATAGGTGAACACAATAGTTGCCAACTTTAATAATAATTTCCAGTACACAAACGTGTATTTAAAAAAAAAGCATTAATTTGAAAATAAATGAAACCATATGTTTTGATAAACTTTTTAATTTGACATAATGCACTAATTTAGCTAACAGTTTCAAAAATTTAATGTTATATCTACTGACCTAGACTTAACATATTTCATTATTTCATATCTTTCTTCCCTAGAGAGTTCATACTTCCTCTTAGAAAACAGATCACACATTATAACCAGTTTGGCACAAGCTGGGGAATAGAATATTTATATCCGTCAGCTACAACCATAGATCATATTCAATAAAAAGTTTCAATACAATAATAAAATCATAAGGTCTACATCAGCTACAAACTGGCTTGTAATAGAAATACAATTTCAATCATTATGAAGCGGTAAGAAACTTATGACAACTACTCTATGCTGACAAAGGCAGAAGTGATTTTTGAAAAGCTACAGTCACTTGTATCAAGTGTAACATACCTACAGCCACTTCTCTCAAGGCTTGTCTTACAGTGTAACACAGCTTGGCTGGATTTGACCACATCGTTCCTTCTAGTGTTACAGTCTCCTTACCATCCTCGCCTATGGCACTACCAAACAGATCATTGATCTTATCTGCGCAGGTGTGAATATCTGATACCAGTGTCTTCATTTCTTAAATTACAAGATAATTATATAAATTACATGCAAGTAATTTATATTTACTACATAGAAGAAATGCATCTTACTTCCAAAAGATATAAAAACTACATTCAAAACAATTATTGAAAAGCATACATAATAATAATTAAACTTCAATATTAACAGCATATACTTGTTTAAAAAAAAAGAAGAATTAAATTACCTAACAAAAGTTTTAAACAAAATCCAACTTACGTTGTGTAAGGGCTGTGTTCTTTAAAAAAGTTTCACACAACTGTCCAAACTTGGCAAACCCTGGCAGTTTCCCCACCAGCTTACAGCACTTTTGTGCGGTGCTCTCTGACAGGCCACGGGGCAGACACTCAGCGTAGAGATAGTGCAGGGTTACCTTCAACACATCTTCAGGCAGACCAGACAGGGGTGTGCTGGGAGCTGTCCAGTCTATCTCTGGGGAGCTCAGCTTCAGGATCATTGTGTGAGCCTTGAACTGATCAAGATGGAGAAGATATATATATATATATATATATATATATATATATATATATATATATATATATATATATATATATATATATATATATATATTTTTTTTTTTTTTATATGAACACACTGGTCAAAATTAAAGAATTTTTTTTGTGATTTTATAATCCAGCCAAAACATACCTCTTTACCATTATCTGCCTTAAGAGTGAGATCTGTGAAATAGCCATGCTCCAATGCACTAAGAAAAGAATATGGTGAGTCTTCTTTTCTCGGTCCTGATGAGACCTGCACACAAAATTTGTTGTATTTTGATTGAAGGGTATACGATTATCTATTCATATATAAAACCAACAATAATAATAAACTTACCTTCTGACATTGCAGCATACAGCATTTTTCATATGTCAGTAACATCAAGTCGTCAGAGATGTCCACCTAAATAACAAAGAAAAATCAAGTACAGTTCATCAAATTTATGTTTAACTTCACTGAGCCTGGTACATTTAGTTGAATTGTAATTAAAAAATCATAGTCAATGACACCAATAGTCAATAAAACTATCGACAAGATAAAATTTATGATTTGTGAAACTTAATGGATAATAGACAAAAAGGTGAACAACAAATTTCACACAAAAAGGGACAGAAAGAAGAATTTAAAAACACAATTTCAACCCCAGAAATAAATAGTGTACACATTCCCTATAATGAAAATGTACTTACTTTAAACTCAACTACATAGCCAGCATAGGTTCCTATAAATTTCAACAGCGCAGGTTCTGTTACTGAGGCTGGACAAACCTTGGAAACAAAAGGAAAAACATGGGTTATGCATAAATCACATCAACTTCTGAATATCATTATAGCCAACATCCTAGTCATTTAAGGTAATAACTACCCCATTAGACAATGATATAAATCAGAAATCAAGGCAGCACAATGAAGAGAGTTCAGAATGTGAAATATATAAAATTAATTACCTCGTAAGTTTCACAGTGGAAAAATGGAAGTGGCTCGGCTTCATCAGCCACTTGCCAGGAGACATCACCATTTTCATCAAGAATAAATTCAGTTCTGGGGGAAAAAAGCAAGAATTTTTAGGGCAAGAACCTACATAACAAAAGTGGATTTTAAAAACAATTGTAATAAGAAAATAATGTGCAACAAATTCTTATTTATATTTCATTTTTAGCACAGTACAGTAAAAACATGTTGCGTTGATTAAAATATAGCTTGATCACCAATGATCAAACATATGGTAATTTTTAGAATGGCTTGTTTACATAGTTTTATAGCTTTTTAAGTTCAAAAGAATTACTTTTACTAATCATTTCATTAACAAATTAAAGTCTACTTTAGAAGAACCTTTACATACTATCAGTAAAACTGGTTACAATAGTAACATGATTTGTGCAAATAACAGAAAAGCTATCAACTTTGTGTCTTTTTAGAGATGGGTGTAATGTTTTTGTGACTTACCCTTCTATGCCTGTCGTTTCAACCACTCCCCGCCACTGATACACATTCAATTATCTGAAACATAAAGGCCCTAATGAATTATAATGTATTTTATAGGATACGATTAATTATTTAATAATTTAGATCAGGACCTGTCTACTCAATGATTCCTACATTGATTATGATAAATGATGATCATATTCATAAAGACAAAACTGAGTGACTGCTGGCCTGATAAGGGTTTAGAAAACTTTAGTTAGATCTCCAAAATATTTAATATTTAAAATTTAATAGGCCTACTCTACACTCAACATTATAGGCCTACAGTCTACACTCAACATTACACATAATACTCATGTCAGACAGTCACATTGGTTCACTAAGCCTAATAATTTATTGCTAGTAGCTGGGTTCCTTCACCAAAGTGAACTTGAAATTCCAGGAGTTTTTCAGGAAAAAAAAACAAATTCCAGGTCATAATTTCACCTATTAAAAAGCAACAACGACTCAACCCCGCGCTGAATGGAAGGGAGTTTGACATTTCTTAAATAGGACTTATAGGAAGTGGGCTTTATAAAATGCTATAAAATGCTACATAGCATAGCATTTGTAATTTTTAAAAGTAACTGTTTCTAATTTCACAACTTTAAAAATATTAGAAAACAATTTCAGCAATTAACTAATTTAAAATGTTAATTAGGCCTATATGTTTGCACTTTTGTTTTCAATTCAATGATTACTGAAATAGTGTGAGTAAATTCACTTAGTAAAATAATTATAAATTAATTTAGATGTTTGCTACTGAGAAACATATTGATTATTGAGCCTAGCAATCATATGATGATACTCGTAAGTAGTAAGAAGTAGAGTCTAGAGTCTAGGTGTAGCGTTTTTTTTTTTTTGGGGGGGGGGGGGGGGGAGCTCATTCTGCCAGGACCTTCAAAGGGTCGATTCTAAAAATGATCCGGATGGCCCATTAGGCCTAGTCATTAGGCCTTATTGTGTATTGTTGTGTGCAATGTAACTCAACGTTCAATCAAATCAATTGTCAATGTTGTTTGTTTTTGTTTTGTTAAATGAAAAAAGGTGTAGCAGCCTACCGGTTAGTAAGGAAAAACAGAAAGGTAAAATGTCTTTCCCTGTACAAATTTAAAACGCATTTTGCTGTTAAGCATTGTTTCTGAATATTTTAAATTACAAGTTAATTATTTGTCTATGAAAATAATAAAATAAATTTACGTACCTTCCAAGTTCCATGATAGGCTACTTCCTCGACTGCAGCCATCTTGATGTTTACAGAATTCACGCATGCGTAGAGGAATGTAAATATAGGGTTTACATCCGAAGTTAGTTTTATTATATCCGTAGGCCTAGATCTAGTATTAAACTTAGGCCTAGGCCAAATTTATAGAATCGGGACTTAGATCTAGATTCTAGATCTAGATTAGACTCTAAATCTTGGCTGAGGTCTATCCAAAAAAAAAAAAAATAGAAAAAATTAGTCGACTTTAGGTTTTCTAAAAATAACAGCGAATAAGCATTTTGCTTCACGTTGGCAAAAACTGGCTCCCAAAATAAAATTAGGCCCCTACATTACATTCATACATTGCCCTACATAACATTTTTTTAAAACTACATCCTCTCTTTCATTCTACTTTTACAATGTATTATAAAATAAATTCTTATAAACAAATACAATACAGATAGGCCTATAGTTATTGATCATTTAACTATCAGTTATGAGGGGGATTTTCTCTCCTTCTCTCCCCCCCTCCCACACAAACACCACGTATCCTAGGCCTAATAGATGTTTAAAAATTAAAGCAAAATTATTTTGATTTGTCAAAGACAAAACCTAGATCAAGTGAGTCCTAGGCTAGGACTAATATAAAAGTTTTGAGTAGTACTTTTTTCCGTACACCTAGGCCCTTCAAATGAGTAGCCTACTGAAATTATCTGGATAGCCTTGCACTTGATTCCAGTCCACGTTTTCGGCATTTGAAATCGCGGGAGTTTGAAAATGGCTACGTCCACCAGTAACGTAATAACATTAAAAGGATCCACAGATATTGTTGCCGAATTTTTCCGTACGTTACAATTAAAAGTTGTTTTTTAATATAAATGTAGAACTATAAAGCGTAATAGACTATAGATCTATATTCAGG